ATWWWAMMTGCTCATAACTCACTTAAAAATTGAATTATCATAAAAAAACCAACGTACAAACACAGATAATGTTCTTACCATCAAATTTCATTATAGGTCGATTCACTGTAATTTTTAAACTAAAGGAGCTACAAATGTTCTACTGAGCGTAAATTTGCTATATTACGCACTGGTAAGACGGAGACAACAAATACCACGACCGTTACGTACTCTTAAATCTGTGAGCGAGGCTTATCATGCCAATAGCTGATAAACGTTATCAAGTTATTATTTATTATTATTATTATAAACCAAAAACATCGTGACTATCATTTGAATTTAGCCAGTTTGAGAACTTATCATTTATGTTTTAGGTTATGTTACTAACTGTTCCAAACATGAGTTTGCACAATTGCCACAATTGAACGACGACGTGCTCCTCACGAATTATGATCGTCATTCGTCTGGCGTCTTGTCTCTCATTCGCCTGCCACTTGTAGTTTACGCTCGTTTCTTTTTTGTTTTTGTCTCTCAATATGYCCTCGGATTGACTGTTGGCGTCTGTTTTAGTGTACTCGTAGCTCCGCCTGTGCGGAGAAAACTGAATAAAATGTTCTGTCAATAAATAACGATACGATTTCATGACGGTCTATTCAGTCTAACTACATTGACTGCGGTCAGTGACCGCCATTTTTGTTCTTCCACCGTCGGGATATCAGATTCCATCATGAGTCAAACGCATCTGCATAGTGAAAACTTTGATCTATGCAGAGTTTGTCTGCTTGAGCCGGAATCTGATAGAAATGTAAAGTTTGTGCATATTCTTACTCCCGTCGCTGGGGAAATGCGAGTGAAGGAGCTAATGTTGGAATTGCTTGGAATCAATGTACGTATTTAGATAAAAACATTCCTAATAAATGTAAACGTTGAAATTAAAATGATGTGTTTAATTTTGCTTAGGTTGAGATCAATGATATTAAACCCAAGATTATTTGCGAGAACTGCTACAAGACGCTGTTAGCTTGGATGGAAGTAAAGAAGAAAGCTGGTGAATCTGAAATTGTCATCAGTTACATCGCTTCAAAAAAAGTAATTGAAATAATATTTATTTTAAAATAACATAGTAGTTGCCTCATTAACCTTTAAGATTTATATTTATTTATAAAATGCTTAAACAGAATATGGTATGTTTTTTAAATTTAATTTTGGTATATGCCTATGTATGTTCATAAGCATTGTTTAGGTCAAATCATGTAACAAAGGAAATTTACGATCAGAGGTTCTCAGTTAGGTTTGTTAGTTTAAATATGTTAAATTATCATTGTAGGTACATTCACTTTAATATTAACACTATTAAGAGGATGCTACTACCGCATGTGTTGTCTCCGTTTTACGAGTGCGCAACATAGCAGATTTTACGTTCAGCAGATCACGTTTAGCTCTGTAAGTTAAAAATTTTGAGTGAATTTACTTCTTATCAAATTAAAGGTAACATTATTATCTTGCTTCTCATAGGCTTTTAATTATATTTTAATTTTATAAGAAGTAAATTCATTCTACATTTTAAGCTAACGGAGCTAAACGTGATCTGCTGAATGTAAAATTTGCTGCTTGTAAGACGTAGACAACACACGCAGTTGTAGTATCCTCTTAATAGTTTTAATATTAAAGTGAATGTACCTACAATGATAATATTTTTCCATACTTTAGGTGTTTTTGGTTTTTAATTTTTGAAAAAAATTGTATTTGTGTAAAAATATTATATAACAATTTAAGAGAATATTATTTCGGCTGAAATGCTCATCACCACTCCCCACAAAATTTTCGATTTATTTTTGGAACATACTTATACAGTAAAACCCCGCTAAAACGGAACTTCGGTAAGACGGAAACCCCGGTATTACGGAATATTTGTTTGGTCCCGTTTCAAATTACTTATAATTTTATCCCGCTAAGACAGAAACCTCGCMAAGACGAAAACGGACACGATTTTGTAATGAAAGTTGATGAAAACCCTCGCTAAGACAGAAATATAACACGATTTTCGTGTAATAAATTTATTTTCGTACTGTCGATACCCATAGATAATCAATATACGAGCGCTTATGATGACATTAAAAACTAATAAAATTGATATGTATACACTATACAATATTATTATCTGAGTTGGTATTAGTATTTGTATTATGTATCAMCTGKTTTAAAATAAATATATATGTAATCTTTAATTTTATTCAATTAAAAAATTTTTTGAACTGCGTCAAGACGAAAAAATATCATGGTCCCATGCGATTCCGTCTTATCGAGGTTTTACTGTATTAACTATTTAAGAACGATGGTGAAATCAGAATTTGTTGGTCAGACTTATCTAGTTTCGAAGTTATTTGCTTTGGAAGTTGGCAATTTTGTGTTTTTTATGCATGAGTGCAACGCTGCGTTTATCATGTCTTTTACGATTCTTTTGATTTTTTTTTCTCAAAACTTACGTGTATTAATGAGTGAAAAACGATGTTGCAGTCAGATTTTTAGTTATGGTTATATGTAACATAAAAACTACTTATCTAATTAACTTATTTATACGCCTAGCTCCTAGCGTCTATATTGTTGTTGTTAATTACTATTGCGTTGGCCAAGCTCGGACACAGTACAATCAAGTTAATTTTGGATTTACAATAATTAGAACACAAAATAGGTACTTTTAACTATAATAAGATTATCTGGATACCAGGTAGGCCGGAGCCGGTAGAGGAAGAGAACTATAAATATACTTATGTTACTTTAACTAACAAGGTTAAGTTCACTTGTTTGGTTATCCATATGCCCGAAAAGCAGGGACGCTCTCCTTCYTGTGACCCCCAATGTAGGTAGGTACTGTCATACTGACATATTTAATATAAATACAAGGCAAGATTGGGACCCAGAAACATACCGAGCACAATAATTTTACCGGCTCTTCAACTTACAAGTTTTCCATATACATAAGTACAATTAGGGGGTTTTAGGAGCTAAGCCCTTCCCCCCAAACTCATTCAACGGCCTTACCATTTTTTTTTTAATTACATAAGAATATAAGATCAAGCTTTTATTGGGGGCAGTTGTAGAATGCTAAGTAACAATAATATAATACTAATACAATAATAATACAATAATATTCATCGCTTTTTTTTTTTTGTAGTTAAATATATAATGTCATCGTTTTTGATATTTGACAAACTATCTTTTTCAACGTTCATAAATAAAAATGTATCCAATTTCTCTTGACTTTACGTGTTTCGCAGTCTATTGAAAACGTATTTCAATTTTGAAAATGTTGTTTCACATTTTACTTGAGTACATGGTAGTGTTAAAATAAATTTGTAGACCATAAATAAAGAAAAATAAGCCATAGTATGTAAATTGTATGTTCCTAAAACATTAGATATGACAGCAAATGATACAATTTTGATAGGTAGACATTCTTATTTTTAATTTCAATTTTTTTTTATCAAGTCTTCGTCTTCCTCGCAATCAGATTCTATATTTATAGTAACTTCTTTTTTGTTAGCGATCTGGTTATTAATATTATTGATATACTTGATCATCCTTGACCAATTTCCAGCAAAATCAAAAAGTTCAACATATAGAGTTTCAATTGTGATGTTTTCATCAATTTTTTTCAAAATATYGACCAAGTATATTAAATGTTTTGAAATTTGAAGATTATCATAATTTTTAATATCTTTAAATCCTGTAAGTTCTAAAATCAACATTGATTTGAAGAGCTTTCCATCTTCCGAAAATCGTTGTTTAAGACTATTAACTATTTGGTCATAATCGAGGTCATAATATATAATGTTATACAGGGCGTTATATGCATTTGACATTTACACAATATCTAAATTTTGCACTTTGTATTGGGTCGTCTGCTATTTTTTCTCCAGCTATTGTTTTCTTTTTAGAAATCCTTGACTGTAAAAAGCTCATAGGTATGCAGTATTCTAATTCACAACTAGAAATAGTTCATTAGCCCAACAAACTAATTGATTTAATGCACATATAACTGCTCAAAGTTCCTCGACTGATTTTCAAGAGTGTGTGTTTGATTGTGTGTTTCACCATTTTTTATGCTCTGAGAATATCTATACCATTTGTTTGTAGGTATAATGATAATGAAGTTGTAGATGCCAACATTTGTTGATAAATTTGACTCTTCATTATGGTTTCATATTTTAGGAGAGCATCTATATATGTTTTAGCTTTAAATCTTACATCCGGAACAAATGTATCCGTAATATAAATTTCATGTAAAGTCTGAATAATATCCACAAATAGAGAATCTTTAGGATTATTATATGAACCAAATATTTTACTAACACACTGATTTTTAGCCCACCATCTCGTTTCACCAATCACTGATATAAATTTAAAATTACTGATTGTCTCCCACATGTTCATTCATAAGTAAGATTCACGAACAAAAACGGCTATAGCATTCAATAAACCAAAAAAAAGGTATATTTTCTATGCATTTTTTCGACGTATCAGACATAACCAAATTATGCACACCATACCTATATAGAAACCATACGGGTATTTGTCCAGGTATTTTTTTTTTCAACCATTCAAAGAACCCATTATATTCGCCCCGTATTTTTGTAGCACCGTCCGTTGAACTACCAATGTAGTTACTTATGTCCACGCCAGAGACTTCTAAAAGTTTAGAAACTGTATTAAAAGGCATTCTTCTTTCTCCAGTACYTGACATGCTTTTAATTACTGCCAAAAGTCGCTGATTAACCTCATTTGTGTCATAACTAGAGTGCGGATTTTTAYGTACTTATAAGTATCGAATTATGCAAAAAATATGCAGTTAAAATCATGAAAATATGTAAAATAATATGCAAACCTTTTTATTTATTTAAAATTTACAGTAAAACTTATAATAATTAATTATTTAAATACTTAATAAAAAAAAATGTAGGGAATTTTCTGAAAACCTTAATTTAATTTTAAAATTTTATTTATAAATAAAATGAATAATCATATGCATTTCAATTTTTTTTTCTTCTGTGAAGCTGTGTCGTTTATCGGTTAACATATTTTTAAAGACTGAGAACGAACGTTCGACGTCAACCGAAGTTATTGAGACATATTTGAAGCAACTTAGTATTGTCGGGTCTTGATAAAAATCTTCGAGCTAACCAATGTAACCAGGTGTCGAGTGGTATGTCGATAACCGACTGACACAGCATTACTTTACGTCGTAATCGATTATTTATCTTATAAAGGTTTAAATAAATATATATATATATTAAAAAATTATTATTTAGTGACTATGAAATTTAGTTTTAATTTTTCTACTTGAYAAAATATTATTTTATACATTTTTTTAAATTTTCGCTTCAATATGCAATAACCTTTAAATATACAAAAAAAAATTTCACCATTAGCTTCAAATTATGATGATCCGTGGACATAACTGACAACAATCCAAAAATATTAAAAGGAAAAAAATATGCAAATAGAAATCCGCGCTCTAATCATAATGAATGATTACACATAGTTGATCATGGACATTTTATGTCCTGAGTGAAATCTATTTGTATACTAAAAATTTGAGTCCGTTTTATATCTTCAGATATAGAATTTTTCATTTACTTCCCTATAGCATCAATAATGTAGTTATCTGTCATTTTTGATAAAAGTGTTACAAAACTTTCTTGATGTCTAGGGCCCATTATTCCTTTAAGTTTGCGCTGTTCATGATTTTTTTACTTTTTATAATTACTTCATCGGTGTGTTCTTTCAACAGTGTATCAAATTTTGAAATCAAAATAAGCATTTCTAAAAATTTTCCGTTGTCTAAAGAATCATCATTTAAGCATGTATAAAGCTTCAGCATCTTTTACACCACAAAAACTTAATCCTCTTTTATCTATTACAGTTGTCGCCACTTATAGTGATCACATTTGTTCAAGAGTACTTTGATCACTATTACCGGAAATCACTATATGTGGTGACTCGAAAATAGGCAGAAAATAACGTAAAAACATTTAAATATTAAAATTATATTTATGTAGTAGGTACCTACCTATTATTATTTTTAATTT